CCTCTGTGGCGCACATCCGCCGGCGGGGAAGCTGACTTAGGACCCACGTGGTTTTTCCCGTGTGGGCATGGGATGGGCGCGGTTACGGATGCTGGTGGGTGATGCTGGCAGGTGCGGGGCCTAGGATGCGATGCGGGCGATCGCGGGATGCGATGTGGGGGCGTTGCGCATGCAGGAGCTATGTCCAGACATGTCTTGGGGCCGAACATCTAGCCGCTAGCCCTTCCATTTCTTCGTCGCTTGTGTAGAGTCCGCCACTCGCCCGCACAATGTCGATGCTTGGCCGCGCGATGCATCGCTTCAGCGTAGTGGCCAGCCTTGCCCTCTCCCTATGTAGCCCTAGCGCGGCGATGTGGCCCGTGCTGACGCGGTGCCTAAACGTGGTTGCGCTCACCTGCGCCTGTGCAGTGATGCAGCTGGTCCTCATTTTCAACCGTGCAAGCGCCCTTGCATGACAACCTAATTCTTCCACTTTTTTGAGAGATTTAGAAAGAAATAGAAAAATAGTAATATTTTCTATAGGGCATCCATCCATCCATTTGGACGCTTCTTTTGGTGGGCCGCGACACCGGCCCAACATCCCCCACCTATCCTATCCTCGTCCACTTGTTTCTCTAGAAGGCTCTCCAGTCATGCAATTTCTCAAAAAATCACCGCAGCGCCACGACCGTGCTCCGTCACGCCACCTTGGTGTTCTCCACAGCGTCCCGACACCCGCTGATCATCATCTCTCCACAGCGCCTGAGTATGGCCGTTCGCCTTCCTCCCTCTCCATTGCGCCTCCTGCCCGCTGTGGTAGCATGTCTTCCTCCTGGCCCTTGTGTCATCCTCGCCTTCCTCTGGAGCCAGATGTGGCTGTTCTTCGGCTACTTCCTCCACCACCCCATGGCACAACCCTTCTATCGGCATCGCTTAGTAGATGAACTCCTCTGCCACAGGCGTACGCAACCGTGCATCCCTCTTGTTTGTTATGGCACCGTGCTTTGCCGGCTGCCTTGATGCGCCACTGCCCCCTCCTCACGTAGACGTTCTTCATGACGCTCGTGCTCATGGCCAGCCTGCTCGTGGATGATCCTGGATGGCAGCGGCATGGTGGCTTGGTGCAGCGAGGGCGTGCGTGTAACTATGTTCCCTCCGTGCGGCAAGCAACTAGGAGATGTTGTGCGAAAGCGCATGTTGCAAGCGTATGTTTCAATTATTTCAAAGGTATGTTGCAAGTATTTCGCATGGATGTTGCAAAAGTAGATTGAGATGTTGCATATGTTACAATGGTTGTGCATGCATGTTGGAAGCGTCTATTTCAAATGTTTTATTTATTTTTCGGATGTATGTTGCAAACGTTTTATCTGAATGTTGCATATGTTTCATGCAAATGTTGCAAGCGTTTAATTTGGATGTTGCATATGCTTGCAATAACTTTCAATGTGTTTTCATGTGTTTTATAAGTGTTTCAGACGTGTGTTGCAAGTCTTTCAGTTGTTTTGGAAGTATGTTGCAAGTGTTTCATTAGGACGTTACAAAAGTAGATTTGATGTTGCACATGTTGCAGTAGAACCCACCTGCTTCGGGCGTTTTGCAAGTGTTTCAGACATACATTGCAAGTGTCTCAGATATTCCAGAAGTATATTGCAAGTGTTTCATCTGGATGTTGTAAAAGTAGATCGGGTATTGCACATGTTGTAATGGAGCCCACCTGTCGTTGCCGCCTGCTGCAGTTGCCGGGCGCCGTGCATGATGAGCGGGGGTGTGGGCAGTCCCCACGTGCGCGCGGGAAGCGAAGCTGAAGCGGGCGGTTCCCGTGTGCGAGTGGTGACGCGTCCATGCGACACGGGCGCGGAAAAAGAAGGAGGCGCAGAAAACTAAGACGCACGCGACACAAGCAATGCGGGGCGTTCGGACGTTTGGTCGCGAGCATCTCCCATAGACAAAGGGGCCTGTTGGAGCTAACTTTTTCTACTAAATTCTCTTTATAACTGGTTATAGGGAGAGGAAATTGAGTTTTCCCGATCTCTCTTACGAAGTTTCACTATGTATGTATGTATGTTAAGCAAACTAAGCTAGCAATCACTAGCTTGATTTTGGCTGCAATGTATACGCGTCTCTGATCTAGAACTGAGCAGGCATCATCATTCTTCGAGTATATTACTTTGTGTGTGTATTATGAGCTCTGGTATGGCTTAGCTTCTTTTAGTGCCATCAACAATAATGTCTAGCTCCGACGAAGAAAGATAGCTGCAGCAAGAAGCTGCAGTGTTTCACAGCTACAAGAACGTTTTTTTACAAGCGGTGACAAACTGTTTGTAGAGACGGATATTCCAGTCGTCTCTATCTACCAATCTCTAGAAATCAACAATTTATAGAGGTGGGTATTCAAGTGCCTCTAAAAATCAATCTCTCTGGCAAGCCAGTTCCGCCTCCAAAAATCTTTTTCTAGAATTTGTAGATCGGATCAAAAAATAGTAAGAACAATTTTAACCCGAGAGAAGCTCATCACCACCAACCCCCCTCCCCCAACCGGGCGTCCAAGGTCACAAGTCACGTGATTGTCGTGCTCATACGGCCGCGGCGCATCATGTTACAAGTCATGTGATTTTCGCACGTGTGTGGCTGTGGGGATCAAATTTAGCAGACCTCTAGCCTCACACGTTGCGGGCTGTGGCCTTACCACTTGACTTAGTGACTGATACATTCCTTTTGTATTCACTTTAGTGAATATTGTAATGCATATTTGATAACCTAAACGAATTCAAATAAAAATGTTTAAATTAGAAAGTTTTAGATCTCTTAGTACTACAACTTTGGTATAGTTTGTTTCTCTCTCCAAAGTCATTTGAATAATTCAAAAAAATATGAATTTCAAACTAGTAATCTTAGAAGAGAATTTATGGCCCATAAATAAGTTCAAATGAAAACATTGACAACTACAAAGTTGCATATATGTTCGAGCGCTACAACTTTGGTTTAGGTCGTTTGTCCATCCGAGGTACTTTCAATTTTTTTTAAAAAAATGAATCTCAAACCTCAGAACTTAAAACAAAATTTTCGAGCACTAAATGACTTCAGGTTTAGAAGTAGTCAACTATAAAGTTGCAAATCCCTTTGAGTATTAAATTTTTTGGTTTAGGTTATTTCTCTATCCGAGGTCATTTGAATAATTAAAAAAACATGAATTTCAAAATCATTAATCTTGAAATACAGTTTCTGGCATCTAAATGATTTCAAATGAAAAAGTTGTCAACTACAAAATTTCATATTTCTTTAAGTACTCCAACTTTAGGTTACGCTATTTGTACATCCAAGGTACTTCCAAAAACTTAAAAAAAATCATTTTTTGAAAACATAAAACCAATTTTTAAGCTTTGAATGATTTAAATGAAAAAGTAGTCAACTATAAAGTTGCAGATCTCGTCAAGTACTACAACTTTGGTTTAGGTTGTTTCTCCATCCGAGGTCATTTGAAATTTTTCATATGTTGAAATTTCAATTCTGGAACCTTAAAACATAATTTTAGGCCTTAAATTATTTAAAATAGAGAAGTCATCAACTATAAAGTTGTATATATCTTTGAGTACTACAACTTTAATATAGAATTTATCTTTATACGACCAAATTTGGAAAAAATATGAATTTCATTATGTTGCACCTATTTTGAGGTGGACCAAATTGCGAACCGACTTTAGAAATCCATTTCCAGAGACGACTTGAATTTCCAAGGTATTCTAAAGGCGACCGGGAAGCATTACCACCTCTAAAAATGGCATTTTTAGCTGACATTTCTAAATACGGTTGGTTCCGCTTTAAAAAAAACGATTTTCTAGAGGTGTGCTGGCTCAAAAACCATTTTTAGAGACAGATTTTGATAAAGTCGTCTCTACCAAAAAATGGGTGACATCTCTAAAAATGAATTCTGAGTAGTGGTTGGAGCTGCGGCTCGCTTCTTCCAAACAAGAAAGAGGCAAGGAAGTATCCACCAGGTTATTTGGAGGTAGCTCGTATTCAGTATTATGATGAAGTTTTAAAAAAACAACTCAAAAATAAAATCCGACAAAGAGTTGACGTCTATATTTAGCAAGAACTTCAAGAAATAGATTACTGTATACCAAGGTCCTTTTGATTATTCTACCATTAATGACAACTTGGTTTAGTAACTAGTGTTGATTATTTCTCTATCATCAAAGCCAAAACTTAGAGATTTCAAGTAATCAAATGGGAAGGCATAATAACTCCAACTATGAACCATAAAAATGTACTTTTCCTAATTCTAAAATTTTCCATTGTTCCATTTTTATTTATCTAAAACTGTTGTTGCCGTTTATGAATATTTGTAGGTCAGAAAGTGGCTTAAATCAGTGTGAAGCACTTTTCATCGAGTATCCTTCACACATAGATCATCCTGTGAGGGCTAAAGGTAAAAAGAAGGTGAAACCTACAAGGAAGAAGCAAGGGCTAAATAAAAGGGACGTAAAACTTTCTAAATGTGCCACCTTGAATCTAAAAGAGGCAAGGAAGCTGAATTTTCTTTAACGCTAAGGAAGGAATTTTCTCCTACTTCTACCGTATTTTTAGTTTAGAAGTTGCAGTGGCAACTTCGGCTGATGTTGCTTGTAGCTGCAGCGAACACTTCCCTTGTGTCTAACATATTAGAAAATTTTAATTTCTGCAAACAAAATTATAGCATACTCCTATTAAGTAAAGGAAAATTAATAGTAGTATACAGCTGGATGAGACATAGACCAGCCTCATTTCATTCTTGTACTCTCATTAGATAATCATTTAATCATTTCGCAAAATGTAAAAAAAAAGATAACTACACTTAATGTAGAGTGATGAAACAATATAACAGAAGCATAGGACAAACTCTGCATATATTTATTAACATGCAGTATAGATTGATATTAAAATTATAATCACACTCTTTCTGGTACAATTTTTTTGCGACCTCTTTCTAGTACAAATTAAGAAGCAACAGGGACATAGTTCACACCATATAGATCACCTGATTAATTTGGCGTAAAATTATTGTAAGGTTTGGCCTTGAGACAGAGCATGGACTTTTTTCTTAACGTTATACCAAAGATCTCTGCCGTATCAAATTCTTCCAACCTGACGCCATCCGGCAGATCCCAATCAAAATGATAAATAAGGCTAGCAAGTGCCAGCTCTAGGTTGGCCAGTCCGAGTGTGATGCCAGGGCATATTCTCCTGCCTGCCCCAAACGGAGTGAACTCGAAGTCATTACCCCTAAAATCAATACTACTATTTTCAAATCTTTCTGGCCTAAATTCCTCTCCATCACGCCATAATCTCATGTCCCTTGCTATTGCCCAAGCATTCACAAACACCTTGGTTCCCTTTGGCACATCGTAACCCATAATCTGACATGACTTGCGACATTCTCGAGGGAGCAAGAGTGGTACTGGAGCATGCAGCCGTAAAGTCTCCTTGATCACCAGCTGTAGATATCTTAACTTGACCAGATCATCTTCAGTTATCTTGTCTTGTCCTTTAAAGGTCTCCCTCATCTCAGACTGGGCCCTATGCATGACCCGCGGGTTCTTAGCAAGTTCGGACATTGCCCATACTAGAACAGTTGATGATGTCTCACTGCCAGCAGAGAAAATATCCTGTAATACAGTCTTGTATTTAGAACCATCACATTAATTTTCACGAGACACACTAAAAGATTCTAAATATCCTCACATAAAACAAAAAAAAGATACGCCCACCAATTTCACAGGCTCTAACCAACATTGATAATAACAGCTATTTGATATGTATATTCTATTTTCTAAACAAATACTCACATATACTATTATGAAAAGAAACAACATAAAGTAACCCCTAATTTGCATATAAATTTCGCACCTATGCCATTATGCAGCATCACCTAAAGTAAATCCTAAATTTTGCATCTAAATTACCCACCACCACCATGTCATGTCATTACAATGGATAATCCAAGAAATCCCTTAAATTACCATTTAAGTTACTACTTCTACCATTATTAGAAATTAAATAAAATAACTTCTTAAAATTACATCTAAATTAAAAAGATATGCTAATATGGAATGTTTAAATCGCTACAAAATTAAAATTACACCTATATATGTTTCTAAGTGACCCACTTCTATTAGTAGTAATATATAAAAACTGACCTATAAGACATACATGTTGTGTATACACTTTCACTACATTTATCTATACTAATAGTATAATTGTAGTTAAGCACCATATTCCATTTTGTAAGTGTGTGGTGTAGTGGGTGAAAAGTCGGCGATGAATTTTTTTTCACCGCTTGATTGACTATGAACCAGTGGTAATAACGACCATTGTTTCCACCACCGGATTATACACTGACGTGGCAGTAAGAACAGTTTTGACCATGGGTTTTTCACCCCACTATGTCCCATCGGCCTTTGAACAAGTGGTGAAACATTATCATCACCGGTTCAGTAGAAATCGGTGATGAAAATACCATGGTCAAAATAATTTCTCTAGTAGTGACTACTAATCTACTATACATATATTTTTTTGACAAGAAAATTTCACATATTGAGAAGTAGAGAAAGGTTAAGAACTTAGGATACCCCAAGGTTGGTTTGTGGATATGGCATTAGTATCCTCCTGGTAGTATCACTAGCCTCCCCTATATCTTACTTCAAACTCTACCATCGATTTTAAGTGTCGTGGTGCAAGCTTAAATTAGGTTTTTGTCATATTAAATAAGAATGTATTTTGCAATATAATTTCTTAAATTTTTTATAAAATACAAGAGTTCTAACGAAAAGGTAGGTACAAGATATTCTACTTGACTTGAGGATTAAAAAATTTGTAGCAGCTAACAAAATCAAAATTTAAAGTCACAATCTAGATCTAAGATGTCATATTGTCACCTGGTTTGCATAAGACACTAAGACTTAAGTTATAGTTTTAACTAGATGTGTATTGAAGCCAGATGGATGTGCCAGGCACAGGGAATGAATACGGATAGAAAAAACATACGTCACAACTGTATATATATTGTGGTAGAAAATAAATACAATAACAGCACAAGCATACTTAATTTTATTAGTTGTATGTAGGTACTAACATGAACTACTAATGTTTAGTGCCATAAAATTTCATTTGCCCAGCGCTAAAATTAGAAACAAATTACAGCATTAAGAACAAAGTATCATATGCATTGGAGTTTTGCAGGAGTGTCATCTTATTGATAAATGATGATTTAGAGAGTACATTTAGAAAAATATGATTTAGAAAGTAAATTTTCGAAAGAATTTAAGAGATGATCTTAGCTTTATAAGAGCTGATCTTACCCAAATAACCGTGCTGACAATCTCGTCGGTGAGAGTGAACTGCAGGCCACCTTCCCTCTGCAGCCTCAAGAGGACACCCAGAAGGTCCTCGTCTCGCTCTGGCGTCGGCATGGCTTCACGCTCCTGGATGATGCTCTGGATGATGCGGTACATGTTCCTCTGGCACCTCCTCGCGTCCCTTGCGGCGGCGCTGAACCGGCGTACCAGCCACGAGGACGGGTACAGGTCCGCCAGGTTGAACCCACCAAACAGCCGCAACACTTCGTCCAGCTCATGCATGTATTCATCTTGGTACTTGCACCGGTCGCCGACGACCGTGCGCGCGGCGACGTCGTTTATCATGCGGCAGATCCCTTCGCTGAGGTTGACGGCGGGCCGGCCATCAGCAGACTCCCTGGAGATGGAGCGGAGGAGGTTCGCCACCTCCTCTTCCCGGATGCTCCGGAACGTGTGCACGCGTCGCTGGCTGAAGAGCTCGAGCATACACAGCTTGCGGAGCTCACGCCACTGGGCGTTGTAGGGGGAGAAGATGATGTCCTTGCCGCCGCAGCTCAAGACATCGAAGGTGACGCTCAGGTTGCGGTCGCAGAAGGTGAGGTCGTGTGTCCTCATCACCTCCCTGGCAGCCTCCGTGGAGGAGACCACCAGCGTGGGCACGGCGCCGAAGCGGAGCATCATGAGGGGCCCGTATGTTTCGGACATCTCGCGCAGCGCCCGGTGAGGCAAGTCGCTGAAGCGCGACAGCATGAGGTGGTGCAGGCTGCCGATGAGCGGCAGCTGCCATGGCCCTGGTGGCAGGCGAAGCGCTGATGGTGGCTTCGTGCGCGATGATGTGAGGTAGCTCCGGATGAGCTTGAGAAGGAGGGCGAGGAGGACGAAGGCCACAATATACAGGATCCTGATGTCCATTCTTTGCCAGGGGATGGGAGTATGGGACAAGTTTGCTGCCAACTGCGTCTCGACGACATCTCCAGGAGATGACACATATAAATATACAGACTTAGTGTTATCGATGCAAAATGAGTGGGTGTTTGGTTGCACGGACTAAATTTTTAGTCCCTGTCATATCGGATGTTTGATACTAATTTAGAGTATTAAATATAGACTAATTATAAAACTAACTGCACAGATTGAGATTAATTTGCGAGACGAATCTATTAAGCCTAACTAGTCCATGATTTGACAATATGATGCTACAGTAAATATATGCTAATGATAGATTAATTAGGATTAATAGATTCACCTTATAAATTAGTCTCCATCTGTATAATTAGTTTTATAATTAACTCATATTTAGTCTTTCTAATTAACATCAAACATATGATATGACAGAGACTAAACTTTAAACTTTAGTCTCTTGCAACCTAACACCCCGTAAGAACAATCATGGAGGTAGTACTAGTACTCATATATTTATACAGACTGAAATGTTGGTTATCCTTTGACAATCATGTAGAGGTACTAGTATTAAGTGTCGTTCTTGCTTTTCAAAAAAAATATTACTTCCTCCATTCTAAATTATAAGAGGCGTTTTAGCTTTTCTAGATCCATAACTTTTGTTATGCACCTATATATATATTATGCCTAGATATATAGTAAAAAGCTATGAATCTGAAAATGTCAAAACGTTTTATAATTTTGGACAGAGGAAGTAATATTTATGGTATATAGTTAATATCATTAAAGATCGATAAATCTATTTTCATATTAAATTATTCAAGATATAAATACTGCTAATATTTTCTATAAATCTAGTCAAACTTATGGCATTCAAACAACAATAACAAATACAGTATTTAGGACAGAGCGTGTAGCGTGTTGGCTATCGTTTGACCTTAGTGTCCCGAGGAGATATTTATTTTGCGCACGCCTCGCGCGAGCCTCCAACATATTAATTCTGTATTTGTTTGTACACGCTGATGATAGCTATGGGCAACGGAACAGACGAAGTTATGGTTAGATAATTGTGCAGACCAGCATGTCTGGTAGAACCGTCCAAATTATAGCAATTCAGGTGCACCTCGCATTGTTCTTCCAACTTTAGACTGGTAATCCCGTAGCCCATTAGGTGTCTTTAGGGATCCCTAATCATCCGCTTTTTACAACCTATATCATTATTCACACGTGTAGGATTCAGAGCATCTCCAGCAATGCTACCTAAATCAGACCCCATACTTCTCGATTTGGGTAGCCACCTATTTCAACACCACTTATTTTTTGTTCTTTGCTCCAACAACGCTACCTAAAACAGGCCACCTAAACTCATCCCAGCACATAATGACATGTGGGTCCCGCTTGCCATCCTCTCCCTCATGATGTCTTCTCGGCTAGCTCCGACACCGGTAGGCGCTACGGCCGCGGGCCACCAGCGTGGGGGAGGGAGGCCGGCATCCAGACACGGGCACGGGGGAGGGAGGCCAGCATCTAGCCGCAGACACCGGCGTCGGGAGGGAGGCCATCATCATGCCTAGATCCAGAGTCACACTGCCGTATCGGACGGAGCAGAGGCCGCCGACGGAATCTGTGCTAGGCAGGGCCGTGTCGGCAAGGAACAAGGCGGTGCCGAGCAGGAAGAAGGCCACCGGCGGACTCCGCTCCGGGCAGGGCCGCCGGCGTCGAGCAGGCCGCATGTAACAACCCAGGTTTTTCAAATAACCAAAAATCTGAACTTAAATTTTTTTCTAACAAAACCCATGCATGGTGAGTGTGCATACTAGGAAACCACCCATGTAGTCGCACAAGTATTTCCCAAGCTAGCTTGTTTGAGCATTTGCATTTTAATTCAACTTGTGAGTTGCTTTTTCTTGATTTTATGTGATGTAATAAAATCAATTAAACCGTTTAATAAACTTGTTTTGTGTGTGTTGCCAACCCTTGGTTTGGACCCTAATACCCTAGATGACCCCTAGTGGACCCCATAAGGATGTGTACATGCTTGGCAACACATGTATACATGCATAGGAACCCCAGGTATAGCATAGAATGGGAAATAGAAAATAGAAAAGGAATTAGAAAAGGGGGGGGGGAGGAAAAATGGAAAGCGGCCCAGCCGCAGCAAGCAGCCTAGCCCCACCGGCCCACATCACCCACGTAGCCCAGCCACCCGCACCCGCAGCTCGCCGCTGCCGGCCCAGTTCGCGGCCCAGCTCCCTCCCGCGCGCGCACCCACGCGTGACCGAGCTAGCCCAGCAAGCGGCCCACGCCGCTCCCGCCCGTGTCACGACGCTGCCGCTATCGTCTTCCCCTACCGCTGACCGCCAGGCCCCGCTTGTCATCCCCCACCTCGCTCTCTGCTTTTTGCGTCGAGCAGAGCAGCGGCACCGGTGAAAGGTCCCTAGTTTGGTTTTGGTAATTGAGTGACTACCTAGGTGGACTAATGTGTATAAATATGAGATACACAGGTGATTAGTCCACATGTACACTTGTATGAGCAACTTATGCCATGACGGTGAAGATGTAAGGCTCACACATGTAATGAAGGATCTCATTGCATATGAGACATGACATTGAGTCATGTGACTAAGGTGAAGAAGATCAAGACAAGACTTGGCTCGATGAACCGATTGTAAGTGTGAAGGCCAAGTTGAGTGATGACTTGGCGTCGATGGATCAAGGCAACGGTGACGAGCAAGTGAAGTCAAGATCGATTTACCAATACGGTCACGTGATGATATGAAGTGGATCATATCATTTGGTGATTGGTTGGTGCATGTGCTACATCGACATCGAAGGAGATGGAATGGAATGCACAAGGCAAAGGTATAACCTAGGGCATTTCATTTCACCGGTCAAAGGTTGTGTAGAGAAGTGCATGACCGGATTTAGGATAGATGGTCTACTATTAAGAGGAGCAAACTTGTTTGCATATCGGTCATCTAGTGCCACTTGAGCGATCTAACTTTGCATACGTGTTAGGATCGAGTGGCGCTGAGAAAAGAGTGCTAATCCTTTGAAAAATATTTGTGAAAGGCTAACACACGTGCACAAGTTGGTGAACACTTAGTGGTGTTAGCACACTTGCAAAAGAGAAGTCGAAAGGTGAAAAAAGGAGGCGAAACCAGGCTCGGAGTGGTGCCCTGAAGGCACCGCCACCCCTTGTCCGGTGCACCGCCACCCCTATGGCGAGTGACCGGCTGGAGGAGGCCGAGAGGAGCTGGTGCTGGGGCGTGCACCGCCAGGGTGTGTCCGGTGCCACCGCCATGGGCACCACCCCTTTATTCCCGAGAGCAGCCGAGTGGGGTTGGTCACGGACAAGGCACCGCCACCCTGTGTCCCGTGCCATCACCACTATTTTACAGAGAGGGGGTATTTTGGGTGACTGGCTGGTGGCCACCGTCACCTCTAGGGTGCGGCCACCGCCACCCATGTCTAGTGCCCTTGACCAGTCAACCTAGCTGTTATGTGACCATTGAAGGGGCACTGCCACCCCTAGGGCGGTGCCACCACCGACGTGTCTGGTGTCCTCGCAGAAAAGGGATCTTTGCTCCAACGGCTCTATTTGGCTTGGGGGCTATAAATAGAGCTAGAGCTCGGGCATTTGGCTAGTTGAGCACCCTTGGGACTGAGTGTCCATGCTTGGAGAGTGCTTAGGATCCATCTAACTCACTTATACTTGATAGTGATCATCCAATCGAGTGAGTGAGTGATTCTAGTGCGATTGCATCTAGTGGCACTAGGTGATCGAGTTGCAAGCCGGTGGTGCTTGTTACTCTCAGAGGTTGCCACCTTCTAGATGGTTTTGTGGCTTGTGACTCCATTGAAGCACGTGAGAAGATTGTGCAGTGCTCCGGAGGAGGATTTGTTTGGGGGATTGTGCTCACCCTACGGGGATCACGAAGAGCAACTCTAGTTGAGCGTGTCATTGAGCTACCCTCACTTTTGGGGTAGGTTCTTACGGTGCCCGACGTGCGGGCTTGACGGGTGATGCCAATTAGCCACCGAACCACCAAGTGAGTGGTTGACACAACGGGGACGTAGCTTGGTGGCAACCAAGTGAACCTCAGGAGAAAATCACCGTGTCAATATTGTCTTCGGCATCTTCTTGGTGGTTTGCATTTCGCAAAACATAAGCTTGTATTACTTTCATATACATTGTGCTTGTGTAGTTGCTCTTGTGACTAGTTTAACTTTAGTAGCTTGCTAGTTGCCTTCTTTCTTGTGTAGCATAAGAAGTAGCTCCCTTGAGTGGCTAATTTGGTTTTAGTAACCTTGTTAGTCACATTGCTTAGTTTGTGTAGCTAAGTAATTTGCGCTCTCTAATTTGGCTTGTGTAGCCTTGCTATTGAGCATTGCTAGTAAGCTTACGTGACTTTGTGCTTTTGCTTACTAGATTGTGTAGGAGCTCCCTCGGTTGTGTGAAGTACTAGTTGCATAGGTTTGTGTGACCTTGCAAGCTACATTAGTTAGGTGAGCTCTAGCTAGCCCGGCACCTTAGTTGTTTATTTAGGATCTTTTCAAGGTGCTTGATAACTTAGATAGAGAGGTGTAGTCTTGGCTAGACCGATAGTTTTAATTACACACTTGTATCAATTAGCCGACGTGATTAAGTTTTAGAAAGGACTATTAACCCCCCTCTAGTCCACCATCTCGACCCTACAGCTGGGGCAGGGAATCTTTCCTGCCTGGCCACGCCAGCCGTCCACGCCTCTAGGCCATTGGGCGCCAACGCTTGGATGGACGCCACGTCCCCAATCCATGGCACCCGTGCCTCCCCTAGTCGCACCGTGCCGCTGCTGACGCCCGCCATCGTGGCCCTGCACCATGACATCGCCCCGTCCACCTTTTTGACCGGATGCCACTCGAATTGGGAGTGCCAGCGCCCGTGCCACCACCTAGCACTCCCAAAACCCTAAGCCAAAGCCCTTGATTGCCCTTCACGTACCCCCTTCCCCTCCATCCACCATTCACCA